GTAGGGGCAATTTAGTCCTTGTACATTTAATTAGAAGCCTAATCACTATTAAGARGTCGACTGATAGRGTTTAGCTATCAGGTTCGACAGTTCTTTCATCTTCTTCTTCTTCTTCTCCTTACTGGTTCGGACTACTGTAGCAACAGTAGAAACAATATTATATAATTATATATCTATTTATAATATATATTACAAATTCAAAAATAACTGAAAAACTGAAGAATCAAACTGGTCAAAACCGAAGTGGTCAGCTGTGAGCATCCCTAATAATAGCCTGTTCTCTATTCTTCGTCCATTTGAGGGCTTTGACTCTTTTGTATTTCTCATACCATTATTTTTTATGGGAAATTATGAGGGAGGGAAGATACTGCTGAAATGTGAGCTGCCTATGCAAGGATGAGCTCACTACATCTCTTTCCCCCCCCCCCCCTCCCCCCATGGATATCACTGCAAAGTCTATGAATTTCTCAAACAATTCCAGTAGGCAACCCTATACTCCACAAAAAATCTACTTTGTGCTTCTCCACATGAATAGCAAGTGGAAAAAAAAAGATCCTATTCAAAGGACAGGAAAATTTTTGCTCTCCATAGGCTCTCCACCTGAAACTTTAGCTCTGCCTTTTACTAACAGTCAAGGTTCAAAGTATCGACATGTATCGACCTGTATCGGCCGATACGTATCGTTCCGGGACCCCACCGATATGCCCCTATAGTGGGTGTGTTGGGGGTCTGACCAGTTCAGGGGATGGAGGAGACCTAAACCGGCCCCCCTGAACCGGTTTCAGAAAAGAAAAATAGTATTGATTCGCCTGATACACCCATACCGGCGTATTGATATTTTGAACCTTGCTAACAGTAATGGAGGAATAATAGAAAATGACATATTAAAATACATTTAAAATAAAAAATACTTTCATTTTACAAGACTTAATGGTACCCATCCCTATACTTGACTGGTGAAATGAGTCTTGTTTTTATCTTGATGATGGGAAAACAAGAATTAGAAATGAAACATGGGGAACAGTTTATCTGGATGCAATGATTGCGTGTGGTCTTTTGGAAATTAATGGAAATAAGGACAGCATGATGGTTAAGAGGTAAAAGATGTGGAGGCAGGTCATGCCTAGGTGACAAGGCACCCGTGGAGGGTTACTTTGCTTAATTGCCAAGTTATTTTTTACTAGTGCTATTATACAAGTAAGGAATAACTCAAGGTTTTTTTCCATTCTCTACATATTGATTATTGTTTCCTTCWTTTCCTAGGACAAAAGTAGTGATTATATTTTTCATCCTTCTCATCTTTTCCTAGGACAAAAATAGGGGCTCAGCCCCTCTATTTTCTAAAATTTCTTTTCTTTCTTCCATTTTTTGATAAATATGTTGATTTTATATGTTTTAAATGAAGGTTATACATTTATTTTATGACGATTATGGATAATTACTAGTGAAAGATGGTTGGTGCTTGTTATGGAACCCATGGAATTACCCTAGGATTCATGATTTTTATTCAAAAAATCCATTGCCTAGGCAGAAAGGCACTCCCTTGTTGTACAATGAATAACAGTAACAGATAGATGTGAAAACTGAAAACTAAAATAATTACTCTCTTATCTGTTTCTTCTCTTTTGCACCCATTCCCTGTTTAAGTGCTTAGCTGCATTTTTTATGTGATTAATGATGGTTGAGTTTTCTCTTCAGATGTTATGTTCTATTGCATCTTTTGTTAGATTTTGTTTCAGTGGGTTGGCAATTTCTTTAGTAGAAAACTTCATGAACTTTCATCAAGGTTTTCTGATTATCTATCTGCTTTTATGTTATTCATTGCCTTCATTGCACTCTATTTTCCATTCCTTAAGACCTTGAAGTACTCTTAGTGGGGAAGGGGTAGGGACATTGAGTGGTGTCATTTTGAAAGAAAACAAAAACAAAATAAGACAACTTACATCTCACCTCTGTTACTGTTAGTGGGGAAGGGCAGAGCTAACATGTAAGGATGTCAAGCAGAGAGCTCACACTGGAGCACTAGACAGAAAAATCCCAATCTCATCCATGTAAAAATAGTGATGCATCATTAATTGCCTAACTAATAGAAGGCATCCTGCAATATATTGCTTCTATTATGCCCCTGACTGCATTTTTATTTATTTGCAATCTCTTTTCTATTTGAAAAACAAAAAGAAAACATAAAAAGATTTGTTTTCATTTGACGTTCTTTTCTAATATTTGTCTTCTAGATCACCGGCCTTGGTGTTTCTGTGCAAGTGGTGAAAAATAAACTGGCACCTGCGATGAAGAGGGCTGAGCTGGAGATCAGATTTGGGAGTGGAATTTGCTGTGAATCAGAGGTCTTGGAGATTGCTTGTCAGCATGGACTCATATTGAAGGAAGAAAATGGATATCGAATAGAAGGGAAGGTTTTCAACGATAAGCAGGAAGCTGAACGATATCTGGCTGAAAACGTTGGTGTTCTAGATAAGATTGTCACRATCTTAAGAAAGCAGTTGTTTAAGAATGAAGCATAATCATGATGGACCCCAGTTAGAACATCATCGAGGAGAGAGTATCAGATCTAACATAAAAAGATGGAGCTGTATTTGTCCAGTTGTAATTGGTTTTCGCTCCATGGCCGCCACCCATCCAGTTTTTATGGCAATGTAAGCTTCAAAACATTCACATTTATATTTTTCTGTGCATTATTCCAATTGTGGACTCCGATTATCTATAAGACTGTTGGTGATGAGTTGTGCTAGGCGAATGTACATCTTGAGCTAAGTGAAGAATATAGGGCTGACAGCATCTTATTTCTCTCCTTGGACTCTTTAGTCGCGTTATTGTTGTAAGTTATCTGACACATTTGTTTCTGACTTGAAATATTGTACACTACATACTGTTTCTTTTTCTCAAATTTTTATTAAGCATAGCCATCCTCAAATGGTTGGTTTTAAAGTTTAAACTGGAATAGCACGAACAATTCATTCGGCCAACTTCATGTAGTTAAKGATGGCCTTTGATGATGATGATGACATTTCTTAATTTGGGCAAATCTCAAATGTCTGAGATGTCAATCCTAGGTTTGGAATAGCAGTCCCCTTAAATACATATTATTACTCCAGAAATCCCATTCGATATTGTCCAGAATTGCTGCGCCACTTAAAATTGGTGACCTAAGGAGGTTTTTTTTTTTGATCAATAACAACAGATTTCATTAAATAATAATAAAGTTATAAAAAACAGGGGAGCTAAAGAATCTCAACTCCCCAGGGAAAGGATAAATCCCAAGCTGAAATAGAACAAAACAATTACAACTGAGCCCAGAACCCAAAAATCCTATTCACTCCTTGCCTAGCCAGACCATCAGCAAATGAGTTTGTACTTCTCTTAACCCAATTAYACTGAACTTTCATATTCTTGGACAACCATTTGAATTTCCTCTTATCATTACTGTAACTCTAGAGCTTAGAATTGTCTTCTTTCAACCAATTCACTACCACCACAGAATCTCCCTCTACAATCACCTTCTTGACCTTTAGTTCTTTAGCCTTTTGTACCCCTTCCAAGGCTGCTAACACCTCAGCCCTCAACCAATCCCCCACTCTAATTGAGCTAAACCCCCCCAAGACCCGAGGGCCCTGGATTTCCCATGCTATTACCATCAAAATTAATTTAATAAATCCAGGAGGTAGGTGGAGGATTCCATATAGTATTCAGGGTCTTTTTAGCTAAGGAGGTTTAGAGGCACTACCCAAGTTTCAAAATATTGCTAAGCTTAGAAATGTACATGTATTTTGAATGTGTTGGATATGTATGAATACTGTGAAAAAAATATGAATATGCTTGGATAAATTAGGGAAACACTTATAAATTAATCCTACAAACACAATAATAGCATCAAGTGGGTTGATAACTGTGATATAAACACATAAGAAATGCATACTTTAACAGTTTATATGAAGAATTATATTACAATCAATATGGTGGGCATGTAATATTCATGACATGCCATGCCATGTAACATATGCAAATTACTAAATGTGTAAAATCATTTTATGTTATTATTGTTATTTTTATTCAGTTAAATTATTAATTGATAATTAAAGAATTTAGTTAATCTAAAAAGTATATTAGATTCATTAGAATGTAAGATTCCAAGCACAAATCAATGTGCAACTATTATATCATCAGGTAAACAAATTGATTTGCTGTAAAAGCTAACTATTTGTTTTGTTTCCTGGATACCCAGAAAATCTCAAAAAAGCTTTTTCCTTTTTATTTATTTTTTGTTAAAGAAGGTTCTCTAGGTTTATATCTAGCATAGAGCCTACATTGAAGTATAATTAATGGTAGTCTCCCATTGTTCCTATTGCCCGTTGTTTGTAGCACAGAGACGGTGGGCCAAAGCAATAAAATGTTACAGTAATAGTGTATGCCCATGTTTACAGACTTCAAATGATTTTTGGTCAGTGGTTGCTTCAATTGGACAAGGACATGTTTTGTGGTATTAAGTACCATCGTAAGAACAATTGCAAACTGTAAATGTTTGTTTACAGTTTGTGGGACCAATAATAACAATTGCAAGCTGTATCAGCGAATTAACTGAATTTGATGGCTTCGTCACTGGCTGTGGGACTAATAATAAAGACTCTATCTCTTACTTGACATTTAATTTATGGCTGGCATGGGGAGTTATTAGTGGTCAGTGATCACACAGCTTCAAAAACAATCATCAAATAGGGGTGTTCATAAAAATCGAAAAACTAAACCGAACAGAAAAAAAAAAAAATGAACCGAAAAATGTGGTTAATCGAACTGCCAGTCATACCTGTGCTCTTTTTTCTCTAAGCCCTTGTTTAAATTTTCGATGAGATCTCTTAAATACTATCCTACAAACATTAATGATTTTTTCAATAAAAAAGATTTTAACAATTGATCAGATAAGTCTTACATTATGGACCCTTGATTTCAACATTGAAATTCTTACATTGCCGAAATAAATCTAGATCGATTAGATTGGTACGACCTGAGGCATATATATGTATATATGGATTGGTTCGATCGATTAAGCTATATAATATATGTAATATTTGTATTAGTAGATGTCCAAAATGATCATTTTGGTTGGGTTTCAATCAAAATCCTACCGAAATGACCATTGCATTTAGCCAAAAGGGAAAACAAAAGGAGATTTGGGGACACCAACTCTCAACTCAGGTCTGTGGCTCAGGTTCTGCTTCTTCGGTCTCACCATCTAGGAGTAGTCTTGCTCACTACCAACTCTTCTTCACTCAGGACCTCACCGTATAGGAGCATTCTCTTGACCCTCACCGTCTCTCTCTTCCATTCAACCACTGAAAAAATACGAATCATCTTGGATTGGTTTGAAGTGTAGACTTCCATTCTTTAAACTAGTCAAATGGAATAAAGTTAGACCAATTTTCCTCCGCCCTCGACCTAATGATGATAAGATGATTTGGAGGGTTGGACCATAAAGGAAATTTCTCTATTAAATCTACTTAGAAAGAGGCTAGTGTGATTAGAAGGGATTAAGAGGGCCTATCATGATCCTTAGCAGCATTTGGGGTCTTCGGATTCCTCCTAAAATCAAAACTTTTATACTCTTTCTATTGAGCTATCGACTTCCCTCAAAAGTTTTTCTTGTTGCTAGTGGTTCCCATTGATGAAGATTGTAGTATTTATGGGGAGAAAGAGAACATTGATGATATATTTAAGAATTGCTCCTTAGCAAATCAAGTTTGGCTTGCAATTAACTCTAGCATTATAGGCCTAGAGGATAATGGTTCTTCAAACTTAGATCGGTGATACAATTTGAATAAGGATAGTAGAGTAGAAGGGACTATGGATAGAGAAAGAGTTGTCTCATTCTAGGGTTTTTATGAAAAATAGAAATGAAAAAACTTTTCAAAACCGGTGCTCCCCCATTCTATCATCACTGAGTGGGCTTTAAATTTGTATTTGGAATCAAAATCTTGTGATGCTTAGGACCCAAGTATGGATAAAAGAAAATTATGGAGAAAAATTAGATGAAAATATCCTAGAAGGGGAACCATTAAAATTAACTTTGATGCTTCAASAAATGATAATGGGGTTTTCTCAATTGCTTTTATTGCCAGGAACCATTTGGGGATATTCTYKCTGCCAAAGCATATGCTATTAGATTAACCATGATAAATGTTGTTGAAGCTTGAGCTGCTTGGGAAAACCCTAACATTGCTAAAAATTTTAGAAATCATTTTATAATTATTGAAAGTGATTTACTCCTTGTAATCTTTTGTTTGAAGCGACAAGTTCAAGTTTCATGGAGATTGGACGCCATTATGAAAGATTTCTTGAGGATGGCTGGGTGGCTGCGGTGCAGTGTCGCTTAGGCTACGTTTGAAAATGATGCAAATGGAGTGTAAATTTCAGTTCAGGGTAACATTACATTTATGCTTGGCAACATTACACTCTGGTTCACTTTTGCTTGTGCTTGGCAACATTACATTTATGCATTGACAAATGATAGAAAACACATTTTCCAATGCATATTTACATTGATAATAAGATGTAAAATCAATAAAAAAAGTAAATTTGCATTCAATTGGGCTTTTGATAAAAAAAGGAATATGTTTTATTGGAATTTGTATTTGCATCCATTACAGCTAAAAGTTTGTTTGATAAGAAGATAAATTTGTCAATGCAAAACTAACCCAACTTTGCAATTTATATGAACCGTTTTACACTCTACATATTTGCATCGTTTCCAAATGCAGCCTTATTTTCACTCATTGCGAGAAGCAAATCAAGCAACGGATTGATTGGCACATCAAGTTCTTTCTTTCTCCTCTAATCCCCTCCCCTTCAATGTCTTCTCTCCCTAATTCCCTTTTGTGTATATGTTTGAGTGATGTCTGGGGCTGAGCTACCCCCACCTTGTGTAGCTCCTCCTCTTATCTACCAAAAGAATAAAAAAAAAAGATCATCAATGTATCTTTGCTTCGTGCCTTTGAAATTCTAGGTTAACCAAATTTTGAAAATGATGTACCGTAGATTGAGGAAAAAGATGAAGTCAATCTATTGTTACAAGCACACAATCAAGACGCTTGAAAACAAGGTGATCATTATCTCTTCGATTGGACCAAGTATAAGAAGATCCAGATGATCCTAAGTCAACAAGCCCATAGTAATCAAAGGTTGCATGCATTAACATCATTTGGGAGTTGTTAGGACTTCAACCCCCACTCTTCTTGATGGTGTTAGTTTTATTCAAATCTGTAAGTATTAAGGAACAGTGCATGGTCGACTCCGAGAAAAGATGTAGATTGTTCATGAAGCGAGTTCGACCATCTGTGCTAGGGTCTACAGAGGATGTCCCACGTGCAGTTAGAGGATACTTATGAAACCGAACTACCATTTGATTTGGTTTATTAAACAAATTTGAAACATTAACACCCTTATCAAAAAAACTACAGACCTCCTAAAAGTCATCCAGAACCAACAATGTGAATATTATAGGAGGAACACTAGTGAAGGATTTTATTACTCTTAATTACACTACTCTTGGTTTCATTAACAAAAAAGAAGATRGGTTTATACTGCTAGATAAGACTCTTAGGCTCTGTTTGTYTTTTAATAAGTTATTTATCGGGTAAATGCACTTATTTGGGTAAGTATTTCCTAGGAAAGATTTATCCGGGTAAGTTCATTTACCCATGTTCTTTTATTCCCTATATAAATAAGGCAATGATCATTTTATCTCTAAAAATCCAATATTAAAAGGGGCATTTTTGTCCCATTCAAGTGTTGGAAACTTTCCCCCCAAGATGGGAAAGTTATTTACCCACCTAGGAGATGAGTATCATTTACTAGGGTAAGTGATAATCAAGAAAATAAATTTTTTCTAG